ATTATCACTCATGAAAGTGCATTTCTTTAAATTAGCATATGATTTGTTTTCCCTTAATGCTTTTAATACCTCCCTGATATGTCCAATGTGCTTAGTGATAGATTTGCTATAAATTAAAATATCATCAAAATATACCACAACAAATCTACCAGTAAAGGGACGTAGTACTTGATTCATTAGCCTCATGAATGTGTTGGGTGCGTTTCGAACCATCCATCTCTAGTTTTGAAGGTTGTCTTCCATTCGTCTCTGTAACGGATTTTGATCTGATAATATCCACTCCTGAGATCAATTTTAGAGAATACTACAACTCCATCAAGCTGATCTAGCATGTCATCCAGCCTGGGAATGGGGAATTTGTAGCCAATAGTAATTTTATTAATAGCCCTACTATCGACACACTTCATCCAACTTCCATCCTTCTTTGGTGTTAACAATGCTGGTACTGCGCAAGGACTCATACTGACTTGAATATGCCCCTTTTTCAACAATTCTTCTATCTTTTCCCGTAAAATTGCATTTTCTTTAGGGCTCATCCTGTAATGTAAGAGATTAGAGAGGCTAGCACCTGGAACAAAATCAATGTGATGCTGTATATCTCGCATGGGTGGGAGTTCATTTGGTAACTCATCTAGAACTACATCATGGAACTCACCAAGTAGTCCCTGCACTTCCACTAGAATTTTATTTTCTTCCAGTGTCTCCTTCATACTTTCTCCTTTTACTACCAACAAGTGTACCTTGCGGGTATCCTTACATTCTTTTATAAATTCAACATGATGATGTGTAATAGTATGGAAATTTTTCTCATCTGTTTTTGGAGCCTTTGGGGAATTCTTTTCAGCCATGGGTAAGAAAGTGTAGCGTATACCCTCTTTTTCAAGTTGGTAGGTATTCTTCCTACCCATGTGTCTTGCATCTGTATCAAACTGTCAAGGCCTCCCTACCAAAATATGGCAAGCATCCATGTCTACAATATCACAATATACCTCATCATTGTACTTACCAATAGAGAATGGGACCTTGCAGCGTTCATCCACCCGTACGTCGCCGCCTTCCTTGATCCACCCAATTGTGTATGGGTTTGGATGTCTTTTAGGAAGTAGTTGTAATTTTTGTATCACATCCCTACAAATAATATTTTCTTGACTGCCACTATCAATAATTAAATCAAATAATTTACCCTTTATAGTACATCTAGTCGGTGTCGTTGAGTGTTATCCTTATTTCTTTGGGACAACATTAATTTTCTTACAACACATGTATATTCTTCATGTCCGTATGGACCTTCTTCATCCTCCCCATCAGGTCCACAATATACTTCCTCTTCAACATCTTCTTCCTCCTCCCTCTCTATCATATTATCTGCCTTCCTTCTGGGACAGTCACTGGACCTATGCCCAACTTCATTACACTTAAAGCATTTAAAAGGAGCAGGTTTTTCATAGGGATTACTGGGTTTAGGAGGGTTGGAAGGGTTACCTCGAGTATTTCCTCCCGTGATGGCCTTACCGGCGTTGGCTGTAGTCACTGGGTGAGAAGGTTGTACTCCTGGGGCTGATTTGTTTCTGTCGACAGCTACCGGTCTGTTGTCGCTCCCACTGTACCGGCGGTAATTATCACCACGGGCCTTTTCTTGGAACATTAGTTCAGCATTTAAAGCTAGGTTCCTTGCTTCCTGCACACTAAGAACCATCTGGACGCCAATTTTATCTCTGATAGCCGGTCTCAAACCGCTTAGATAACGGGCTGCCTGCTGGTTATCACTTTCAGATATCTGATTTCTTTTAGCTAATCTTAAAAATTCAGATGTATATTCATTGACACTTCTTGAACCTTGCCTGTGCACATCGTTGATATGATTCAAGCATATATTGTTCATAATTTGGGGGTAAAAGTTTACCTCTTATTAGCTGTTTCATGCGCCTCCAGGTTCGAACAGGACCCCTTCCTTCTCTGATCTGGGTCTCTCTCATGCATTCCCACCAGATAGATGCGCCTCCTTTCAATTGGAAGGCTACTAGTTTCACTCTTCGTTCTTCCGGGATCTCCATGTACTCGAAGAAACGGTTGACCTCTGTGATCCAATCTAGAAGTCCTTCTATATCCAGATCCCCACTAAAAGTAGGAATATCTACCTTGAGTTTAATTTCATCGTTATTCTGTCGGGGATTGAAATTATCTAGGTTACGCCAGTTCCTGCCGTTTCTGCCATCGCCGGGAATAACTGGAGCAACACCGAACTCTAACTCGTCGTCACTATCATCATCAAGAACTGGGTGCCAGGATACAGGGTTGACGAGTGGTCTGCCGTGGTCGTCTCCTTCGATTGGGTACAGATTCTCCTGGTTCTGTGGAACATCCTCCCGTAACAAGGTTTGCAGTTGTCCAGCGATCTCTGCCAACTACTGCTCGATGTTACGTGTGGTTGTGCGCTGCTTTTCGATTGCTCTCCAAACAGCTTGTAACCCCTGATCTCCGTCACGGGGTGGGTTGCGACTGCTACCGTCTTGGTTGGCCATCTGACTGGGCGAACTCCCTACTCTGATACCACCTGATGCAGCGTGGAAGCATTAAACCGGGCTGGCTATGCAAGCACTGGGCAAACACCAGCTTCGTAGTGAAGCTATACGTGAATCTCTTAGAGGAGAGAGAAAAGTTGGCGAAAACTGAATGTGTTTATTAGCTTGGAAATAACAATATTTATAATACATCTGGAAATTGTAGAGTAACTAGGAAAGAAAAATTATGATAGATCTTGAACATCTAATCTTCTAGCTAGGATCGAACTCTTCTTGGATGTTGCCTTGATCTCCACCGTCCGATCTCCCTGGGTCTATCCATGCATGAGTTATCTTGTCTCCTTGGAATTACCTTGGATCTTGAACTTCCTTGAATCTTGGGCTTATCTTGAATCTTGAATTCTTGATTTATCTTGAATTCTTGAATTATCTTGAATTCTTGATTTATCTTGAATGTGCTTCCTATGAGTTGTCGCCCATATGATGAGATGGGCCTCCATTAGTGAAGCATCCCTTTGTATTAGTGCTCATCTGTTGAAATCAAAGGGATGGCCGAGAAAAAAAAATATGCCCTCTTTGGTCACATGCCACTAGGCCTACACCTGTTGACACCCAGAACTCCATTAACATTAATTTTCACCACATTGGTTTCAGGTGGAATCCATCTATATTGAGGAATGGTAGTAGGAGCACCAACAACCATAGGACTAGGGGTGCAAATAGATCGGATCATGATCCGGTCTAATCTTATTTGATTGAATTTGGATCGGATAATATGATCTGATTAGAAATTGGATTGGATTCGGATCACCCCATTTAATATATGTTATTTATTTATTTATAAATATATTATTTATATTGTATTTTTATAAATTTGTTATATTGTTTATTTTTTTATAAAAAGCATATATATATGATGAAAATAATTAAAAAATAGTTGTATTTTATATTTTTTTTTAAATTGACATATTTTATTTTTCTTTTAATAATTTATTATTTTTAAAGAAAACAAGTTGGATTGGTTCAGACCTGAGATCTGACTTACTGATTGGATTCAAATTCAAATTGAGACCTATCAGATCAGATCAAATAAGATCCACCATGAGCAGTATTGGGTCGGATTCGGATGTATCCTAATTCGAATCCGATCTAATTCATTTGCATCCCTTATAGGGTCAGGCGAGTTCAGGTGTATGCACTAGTGTGTCGGGGTAGGGTTGAGGTAATTTATACCAAACCCAACCCATTGATATTCCCACAAGTCGTAGATGTAACAAAAAGAGAAAATTCTTAATAGATACCCATACTTTAGGTTGAGTGCCAAATTAGTACCTTTACTTTAAAATACGATGGTCTAATACCCTAACTTTCAATTTGTGACAATTTAATACCTAACGTTAATTTACTATCCGTCACAATAGAAAAAGACATAATTGCCCACCTACGATTTCTAGCAATGCATGAATTAATTTAGAAAAAGGCATAATTACCAATGCATGAATTAATTTTCGACAGCTATAATCCTTTTTATGCTTGCATGTGGGAACCACTTTCATCCACTCTGTTACCTCTTCCGAAAAAACCAGTTGGTCACGCCGCTGATGTCAAGCGAATGTGACACCAGAAAAATTGAAATCGATGCTCGAATGCGACGCCAGAATTTTCTTTATTTATAATCTCTGACCTGAAGTAAATGTTGGCTTGTTATATGTAGATTGTCTTGTAAAGTTAGGCTTCTGATTTTCTGGTTGCGTGGAGGAAGAGCAGACCTTCAGAAGTACGTTTTTTGCATTCTTCCATTCCTAATTATAGTTTTGTAGATTCTTGCGGTACGCCAGCTTCCGAGCTTCATATTGTCCTCTAAAGTTGTACGCCTTTGAGCAGAGCTTCAGAGGTACGTTCTTTTGCATACTTCCATTCCTTTATCGATAATTCAGACGATCAATATGAAGATTTCCTGTATAAACAAGGAAAACAAAGAACTCATATGTTTATTAAGAATGTACATGATACAAAAGAACCAATCCCCAGCCCCATCAAAAATCTAATCCTTCTTTTCTTTCCCCCCTTTTTTTTTTTTTACATTGACTATCTATCCTAATGGAGGAGAACTAACAGAGACGATGAAGAAGAATGGACTTCCCCCCCAAAACAAAGATATCTTTCACTTCACCTCCCACAAAAATCTCCCTTAACAGAACCCAACTCAAATCAACCCGTCAACTGACACCTCTGCAGAGCTTGAATCAAACTTTTAAGCATTTCTTCTATTCTTCTCATTCTAATCTTCCAGGAATCCCAAACAAATTTCTTCAATCTCCTCTCTCTTCGCCTGCCAACGCATTCCTTCATTACAATAACAGAGTGAATTCAACGTGGAGAGAGCGTGTTGTACCCCGCGTGGACTACCATTGAGCAACACCCGAACTAAAACCCCGACAAAACCATCAAGCCTTTCCATTTCTTCTCTACCTTCTCTGCATTTGGCCAACAGGCTGAGAACCTCAACAGCCCTTTCGACCCGGGAATCGGCCATTTCGACCAAATTTGGCACCGACCCACATTCTACAGCTCTCTGGGAGGGAACATAAGTCGTAAAGCGCAGTGGCTGCCTCTTTCTTTCCCCTCCCGCTCCCGTTCCGAAGGAGGGAAACTAGACCTCTAACCGCAGATGGGTAGGCACCGATCGTCCCCTTGTTAACTTCCGCGACGGCAAGACTCGTGAGCATAGTGGCCGCAAGGGCCTTGCAGTTGGGTGCCCCACCTTGCAAAGCAGAAACGACACGCCCAATTGCTCCTTCAGCAACCAGGCCCACCTTGTTATCGTCATCCAAACTGACGTTCAACAGAAGCGAAAGCGTGGATTCTCTGATATTGGGATCAAGGCAGCCACTGCGCTTCGGAGCTTCATAGGTACGTTCTTTTGCATTCTTCCTTTCCTAATTGTAGTTTTGTCGATTGTTTTTGAATGTCGATTTGATCTTTTTTGTTTCATTGTACGATTCGGTTGTTTGAACAAACTGGTACGTTTCTCAACTGTAATCTCACAATTCTTGGGGGGTGTGAATGGTTTTTTATCTGTTTAGGGGACTGGTGTGGCGTAATTGGAAATTTGGAATAGGATTTGTTTCTGTTTCTTCACGAAATTGACAAGGTTTAGGATTGCGAATGTTCACGAGTTCTAGTTTTTCGTTGTTTCATCCTAGATTCTAGGATCCGATACGGAGGATGTGTGTTGTCATGTGTCGGTTTCGCCTTGAGGCACCGGGGGTTAGGTGGTAGTTGAGTGGTTGGGGAAGGGGAAGGGGAAGGGGAAGGGGACGGGGAGGGGATAACATGACTGATTTTGTGTCGCAGCAACAGAAGCAAAGCAGGAGAGCAATGATGCTCGTGCTGAGTTCCAATGGGGTTTGGAGGAGTTGATGCGTGGTCATTTGGATGATTGTATGTCATTGGCTTCGTGTAACTTTACTCGAGATCATGAGGAAGTCTCCTCTCCTCCGGGTAAAACGGTCGGCGTTGAGTGAATTTTCCTCTCCTCTCGTTTCTTCAACTCAGATCGAAGAGAATGGAGATTAGGGAAATAGGAAGGGAAAAGGGTAAAATGGTCTGAATTTTTTCATAAAGGTTAATTTTGGTATTGTGAGAATGTTTAAATCACACCTGATATCATGTGATGGTTCTGACTGACGGTGAGTTAACGTTGGGTATTGGATTATCGCAAGTTGAAAGTTTAGGTACTAGATTATCGCATTTTAAAGTTTCGAGTACTAAATTGACACTTGAACTAAAGTGCAGGGTACCTATTGGGAATTTTTCCTAACGAAAATAACATAACTTTAAACATAGGAAGTTGCACAAATACTATTCTGATCATTTAAAATTTATGTTTTTTGCCATTGAGTGATCAAATTGGAACTTGTTCATGCATATTCGTACGGACTCCACTGCGGAAGAACCTTGAAAATTTGAGGAAAATCTAACCCACAAATATCTTTTGAAAAGGCCTATTAGATTGACTTTCTCGAGATTTTTTTTTTTTTTTTTTGCATGTAAGGCTTTCTTAAAACCCTAAGACACTTAGAGGTCAAGTCTTAGACCCTGTCTACCCTCCGTTTATTTCCCATTTCGAAGCCCAAACGTTTCAAAAACAAAAGGAAGAAGACCCATTATACAGTGATTTGCAACGGAAATTTGAGAAAAACTCCATATCTAGGGTTAGAATTTACCGAAACTTCTCCATCCTTCTCCATTTTCATGCTCTAGCCTTGAACAAGAGCAGGAAGATAATCAAATCATCCATTTCTTGAGTCTCTTGACGTTATATAACGATTGCAAGAACTCCTTGTTAGACAGTGTATGCCCTTAGCTCCAATCAGAATGATGTACCTTATGACATTTAATGTAAATGAATAAAGTACATATTTGATTCATGTTATTGTGGTGTGTTTCTGTGTAATATTCTTAAACTTGACACATATGAGACTCGTTAGTTTATCCTGCCAAGGCTGACATTGATGTGCCGCCAAGTTGGTTTGGGGTGGCTTGTCTCAACCGCCAAAGTGAGACCTGAGATACATGCAGTGTGAGTTTTCTTGAAACCCTAAACCGGATCAGAAATCTAGTATTGCTCTGGACCTTGGAGATTGATGGGCAAAACTGGAATGTTACACCTGACCTCTAAACTCGATTATGATACTGCACTAGGTGTTGGATTGGGCTGTCTTTGATATGTCAATCAGTGAGATCCTTAGAGGGGGTCAAAACCTGGGTATATTGGGACAATCCGAGAATTCATCTGAGTGGGTGATCATAGTGACAGGATCAACCCCTTTGTCGGACAAAGGTAATGATTGGGGATGCACTCTCTTTGATGGAAACCAAAGCTGCCGGCAGTTGATTTCAATCGTATTTGTTTTGCAAAATATATTTATATATATATTATGGTTTTAAAATGTTTGCAAAAGGTTTTAATTCCCAGGATCCATGCGAGTAGAGAGTGCAGCACTGTTCCTTTGCCGAGGGAGAGGTCCTCTCTTGTCGGGCAATGCTTGATCATCATGGGCTGAGAGGTTAAATGTAAGACCATTGAGGGTAATACCTGATGGGCTAATCTTGCATCTGCCCACAGTCCTTGGGCTTTTATAAGGTGCTTGACCCAGGGACCACTTAGTGTAAGTGTTTGGCTCATTAAGAGCCCATGTAATGGGCTCAGGGGTTCATTAGCTCTTATAGTGAATTCGGCCAGGGCTTGTAACAAAGGCTGAGCTGAATCCATGTGGCTGATGTGTAGATCAATGTTTGGGTCCCACGCCATACAAGGAAACCCAACTGGGTAACAGTTTGGAGGCCGAATGAGCACATGGACTTAATGGGCCTAAAGCCCAATTCGAACTGGTTTAATTTGATTAATTAAAAAGGGGCGGTTCTGGGATTTAGATCAACAAATAGGATAGGAACTCCCTATCCACTCAGAGAGTCCGGATCCAAATAAAGATTTGAATTAGGAAACTCTTAATAAGATTAGGATGGCTGATCTTTATTTGCAAATAAGATAAAGATTTATCTTTATCTCTTAAAGAGAGTCCATATCCAAATACAAGATTTGGTATAGGAAACTCCTAATGAGATTACGAGAAGCTCTCTTTAAGGCTATAAATAGAGGAGGAGGGCGAACCCTTCAACACCAATTCAGATTACAGAGGCAAGAGAGAAGACAACTCCAATAAGACTGACGCCATATTCTGCTCTTGCCTTCTCCTCCTGTTGTCGCCATTGCCAGTTCGTTCTCCACCTGTAGGAGCGATCAATAAGCGTTCTTGATATCAGTTTTTGGGGAAAAATGATCTGAAGTCATGTTCACTCACCCTCCATCGAATTCTTGTTAAAGAGTTCGGTTCTTGCTGAAGAACCACTTGCTGATTCTGCTCCACCCTATGCTGTGTCATCTTCAGTGGGAGCAGTCTTTGGCGTTTTACTTGGGCGTGAACACCTTCGTTGGGAGTTACTGTTACACCGTATCAGGTATTTCCCTCTCCTACGTTTTGGTTTCAGATCTGGTCCGGTTTAGGTTCAAGATTGATCTTTGAAAATGCAGTTTTCTAAAATAGGGAATATGATTCCCACATGGGAGAGAGAGAAATGTTTGAAATTTCACCCTACCTACCTACAGGGTTTGGCTATCCATATGATGGATCTCTCATCCCTTCACTCCTTTGCTTGAAGCATCAAAGATGCCATTTCCAAATCCATAGGAGCTGCTAGAAACCATCTGTTAAGGTCAAATTCGAGAGGCAAGTCTCTCAACCTGTGTAGTTAGAGTTCCTAGTTAATTTTTAATTATTTGATACTAATTGTCATCATACTTCTCGATAAGTTCAGTTTGGTTGATTGAGGATTCCAAATCTTGGAAAACTTCTCATCAAGCTTCTTGCAATTTTAGGAATAAAGGGGAAGTAGTGTGGGTTTTAGGGAACTTAGTACCTAATTCCCCGTAATATCCCCTCAAAACTACGACTGAGATATGCTAGAAAGGATTGTTTACAAGATTTTAGAATTTCATCACTTTTTTAGATTTGAAATTCATGAAGTTCTTAACACTGCCTTTTGTAGCTTGGAGAGAGGGGTGCCTAACACCTTCCCTCTCCCAATCTAATTGGATTTATGAATCTTGGTACAGTGCTGTAATTGAGTTAATAAATACAAAAAGGAGAGAAAAACAATATCAATTTTAAAATTGATAAAAAAAAAACAATATCAATTTTAAATGTTATAGAGGACTCATTTTTCTTAAATTAAATGGGTGGTGACTCCTTTTGAGCCGGCCATGAGCTTTCTGAAGATCACAATTGGTGACTATAGTAGGGACTTCTTTTATTGGACCATTTAGAGGTTTGCCTAAGCTTGCTTTTTCTATAATATTAGTATTGTTTTGTTATTGAAAAGGTTTTTCAGTTTCTAAGAAATATATATATATATATTTATTTATTTATTGGCATTGAATGATTTTAGATGGTTTGTTTTTACTTGAATAATGGATGTTATAATTTAGGCTAGATTTTGGTTTCTGTGTATATTATCTTCAATTTGGATTTTAGTGATCTAAATGTAGCTTTTCTGGCTTAGACTAGTCTCTATTAATCAGCTGAAGTGTTTAGTATATGCATCTTCGTTTAGCTTGCGTATGGAAATATATCTGCTTGCATAATTAAATCTGTTCTTTGACACGATCATGGTATAAGTTTTATGCATTTTAGAACCGATAGTAATGCATTCTTTTAAAGGGGTAGGGACCTGTAAGCATGTCTTTTGTTTGGCTTTTAAACAAAGCATATTTTTGCCTTTTGTTTTCAAAGAAGAACTTAAACAAAGCATATTGTTGTCGTGATTTTAAACAGACTCATCTTAAGTTTTAAAAAGCCAACTTTAATTCTGACTTGTGCTTTCAAGTTGCAAACTCGGGTCTGTTTTTATTTTATTTTTGATTTGCATGAAATTTTTCTACCTTGGGTTTTGGTTTCGAAAAAGGATACAAGTCGCAGATCCACAATCAAGTTTAAATTCTGTTTAAAACGTAGTACTGATATTTTATTTGCAATGCAAATTCCAGACTTACAATCAGATCTGATTTTTGAGTTTTTGTTTTAGAATGCAAATAACTGACCTGAGTTTTGATTTAGAAGAGATACCATAAAGCTACAGTCAAGTATGAGTTTTGATTACATTTCTATGTTTGGGTTTTATAATAAGATTATAAATTGCAGGTCAATGTTTTATTTTCCAAAGGAATATAGGTTGCAGGGAATTTTGGATTTAAAAAAGAAAACTAGCCATAGACCCGAATTGTATGTCCATTTAAATGTTTTCTCATAATATTTCAGTCCCTATGTTTCTAGTCTCAATGTTATCCACCT